CTTTTTTTTTTTTTTTTTTGCTTTGACCGATTAATCTCCTGCAATACTTTTGCTTGGGATCCATTCTGTTGCAGATTTTGCTCCTCCCATTTCTATGCCTAAAAGCACAGAGAGACAATCCTCAAATAGAAAGTCCTACGCTAATTGTGTTTGTAACCCTGCAGCAAAAGCGTTAAAGCACAGTGGGTTCTTGGCCCGAAGACAAATGGATCTATTACTGGAGAACTGTATTAGCCTTTAGCCTTTGGTGAACCTGACAAAGATATTCAGATTCAACAGTGAATTAACTCGCAGAGAAAATACTAATGCAGGAAAACAGAGAGTGACTTTTATAAGCAAGACGTTAGACAGGGACTTGGGAGATCTGGGCCTAGTTCTCAACTTTTATCAAAGCCTCTCTGTGTGAATACAGGCAAGTCACCTGGGGCCAGATCCTGTCCACCTATTGGGCATTCAACCCCATTCAAGGCCTGAACATCCGTTTATGCAAGGGTATCCTATGTCTGCCTGCCCCCCTCCAGGCCAGATTCGGACCACAGGGCTCCTTGTAGGCTGGATCCAAGCTGACCTCCAGCAGGAAGCACCTGAAATACAGGGCTTTACACTACTGTCACTTGTCCTACCACTGAAATGAGTCCATAGCGGGGGACCATTCTTGGACATACTGCGGTGGAGCGAGTGACACCAGCATTTAGCCCCCACGGCTCCCTAAGCCACCATGTCACTGTGCCGCTGAACTCCCAGCCCTTCCAGGAGTCCCACAGTTCGTCCGCCCCTGTATCCACGTATCTTCTCCTTGTAACCCCCCATCATCTGAATACGGAGTCACAAAAGCAGCGAGGATGAGGAAGAACCTCTCTCCTCTTGCATTTCAAGGACTTGAGCAGGTTGGAATAGGATCGAACTTGAGAACTTGAAGTTTATTTTTGAGCCTAATAGGTGGAGTAGAAGTAGACCTTAATCCCGCTGTGTTTCAGTCCCTGTCTATCAAATAGAGATGATGGTAGTAACACTTGCTTCCCCCACTCCTTGGGTTACATTCTCAATTTAGACGGTAAGCTCTTTGGGGCAGGTACTGTTTTTAACTAGTAGTTATTTCAGCATTTAGCATTATCGGGCCCTAATCAGGTTGAAGCTGGTAGTCATTGCCACAATACAAATAATAGTACAAGGGAAGCTGTACTCAGTTAGGATATTTTAATTAACAGGGGCTCTTTTTGGTTCCAATGTGCTCACATCACGTGTGACTATTTTGCATTTGGGGGGTTGAGTGTACCCCCAGTAGTAAGTGAAGCCTG